CACCAGCACCAGCACCAGCACCAGCACCAGCACCAGCACCAGCACCAGCACCAGCACCAGCACCACCACCGCCACCGCCACCGCCACCGCCACCGCCACCGCCACCGCCACCGCCACCGCCACCGCCATCATCATCATCATCATCACCATCATCACCATCATCATCATCGTCATCATCTATATCATCATGATCATGATCATCAGCATCACCAACATCACCATCATGGCCAACATCGCCATCACCATCACCGTGGCCATACCATGACCGTCACTCTCCCGTTCTTCTTCATCATCATCACCATCATCACCGCCATCATCATCACCATCACCATCATCATCTTCATCATTATCACCGTCGTCATCATCATCACCACCATCATCATCATCATCATCACCATCAGCATCATCATGGCTGGTCCTGTGTTATTATCGTTTCCATTGCAGTTGTCATGTAGGTTATAGGCCTACTCAACACAGTGTACACAAATCGACGAATAGAACATGTCCGGCAGTGGTTCGTGTACGCTGCGGCGCTACAGAACAAGCGCAAGCTCAAGACGTTGCAGAACCTGCGTAGGTGAGCGGCAGTCAGCTTCTGGCTATGTACCGTTGAATGTTCCCGGCACAATCGGCCTTTCCACTCCACGCCAGGGGGTGGCACGCCCTGCCACGACTGGCTCTCCGAAGCAGTGGAGTGCAACGTGGCCTTTGCATGTGTTGACCCCGATCTGCAGGGATTTTGGGCCACAGAGCCCCAAGCAAAGGCCCTTCTTCGAACCGGTGTATTCATGATGCAGCATGTAACATGTAGCTTCCTGGAGGACGAACTCACGGGTTTCGGACTTTCCAGTGTCCATCCGATTCCCAAATTCGGCGGTTTTGGGTAACGATAGCAGGAAAGCGAGAGCGAGGGAAAGAACCGGCGCAGGGCCAAGGTTGAGACTCTCCCAACTCCCGGTCCTATTCGCTGATCTGGCTGCCAGAAACAGTGCTTCATCATGTTCAGGATGGCTCTTGCAACATGTCCACAAGCTTCAGCGGTTACCAGTGCAGTCGAAATTGATCTCGGAACTCTTAGAGAGTCGCCATGGATCAGAGCCAGCTTGAGGGATGGACAAGGGCAACTGCCGTCCAAGTGCTCCAGGCGCGTGTCAGATGCACAGCCAAAAGTTCGCACTGGAACCGCGTTAACCCCCCCACTAGAGAGCCTGCTGAGATGGAGAGGTCTTCCTGGAAAACTCGTCTACGGACTCGGTGCAGGGTTTCTGCAGCTTCGCTTTGCGGAACACGCTGCCGGACGGGACCAGTCTCGGCTCCTGGTCGGATCAGGCGGAGCCCTTGGCCTTTGCAGCTAGGTCCGCTAGGTTCTGGGACAATGTTGGAATCCCTTGGGCACCCCTGTACGGAACCTTTTGCGGTGTTGGGCTGTTAAAACCCGACCAGGAAAATTTCCGGCACCGGATACTGCTGGCCTTTGCGCAGTGGACCAGCTCTAAAGCGCGCCAGTTGGACGATCATGTGCCTCTACAGAACCACATGCCCAATGTGCACTGCAGCACCTCCTTGAACAATTATGTGAACCAAGAGCACGCCGGAATCGCAGATGCTGCTATCAGTGAGTTCATCTACCATGTTGCGATTCGACTGCTCGGGCCAGATGCTGCCTGCTTCGGGAACGCCTTGGGTGGATTCTTCGCCCGCGGAGGATTCTCTGCTCTCCGCGGGGATGGCACCAGCAGCGCCCTCTCTGAGTACCCGGCCCTGGTCCTGTCTCTTGGCTCGGAGGCGTTTGTTGTTGGATCTGTCTGACTCTTGTCAGCAGAGACTAAGAAGGCCAAGAAGCCGAGGTCTGACATGGTCAGGTACTTGGAAGAGATCCAGGCGAAAGTCTTGAAGGTTGCACAGGAGCTGACACCGAATGAAGCTCGGTGCTCCCAGGGGCAATGCTCTCAAGCCTGTGGGAGCTTTATATGTATCGTCTTCGGGCAGTTGTGCGGCTAAGGAACTTGCTGGAAGCCTTTTGATGGAGTTCTGCCACTACTTCACGGTCATCACGACCTTCTCTCAACAGAGCCAGATGCTTCAATTCCGCCTCCAGGCTCACGAGAACGTGGATGAAGCTTTCCAAACCTCCGAGTTCCGCATCCAGCTCATTGACTCCTGTGGAAGCCTGATGCACCTCAGCTCTTCTTGGAAAGTGGTGCGCATGCTCTGTTCCCATACCTGCCCTGCAAGGAGCATGCTCCAGCACATCGAGCAAGTTTACAACCGCAACCAGAGCCTCACAGTGGCCGTGGATTTTGAGGGCGTGGACTTGTGTCGCACAGGTGAGCTATGCCTTGTCCAGATGACATGCGATGACGATCCAACCCTAGTGTGCCGCGACTGGTTAGGGTGGCTAGGGTTTGATTGAAGCCCATCGATCGGATACCTTGTAGATCGGAATCTCTTTCACTATCCCAACTCTGCAAACACGCCTCAAGACAGCTTCAAGATGTGCACACAGGAGGCACATGACAGGGTCTGCGGAGCTTCGCATCCGCATGCTCGGAAGGTTCGGTGTTTCGAGTAGACAGGACGTGCCCTTCTGCAAATCTCTGCGTAACGCCGAACTCAGGTATGTCCTAGACGTGCACGTCTTGGGTCAAAAGACCTTCCACCTTGCCACGCCAACAGGGATGTCCATGAAGTACTTGCTGGAAGATCACCAGAGGCTCTCCTTGAAATGACGGGGCTTGTACACATGCCAGCCCGACCCCCCCACAGTGCTTGTGTCGCTATTGTTCTCGCGAGTCTGTTCCGTCTCGCATCCGAGGAATGTCACCAAGCTTTGGTTCGACCCTCGCAATGATGTCGATGCTCTGTACCACCAGCTCCTGGGTTCAGCTTCAGTGGCTCAGGGCTTCGTTAGTCCCACTTGGTGCGCATCAAACTTGCTGGTGTCGGCGTGAGGTCATCCGAAGTAGCGGTTTTTCCCTTCTGCTGTTCGCGAACACATGATTATGTGAAACTTCTGTTCTGCACGCCTTCTTGGATCGTACGTGGGCAAAGACCCCAGGCCTTGAGACGATTGATTCAATTCCACTGCCAACCCCATACGAACCGCTGCCAGCCGAAGCTGAGATTCGGAATCACGCCGAGAAACGTCATGGACCTGCAGCTCGCCGAGGTCGCAATCCGCAGGAGAACTTTAGCAAAGCATCTGCAACAGCGATTTGCCTTCTACTCATAATGACAATGTGATATAATCATATGATGACGACCAGAGTCGCTCCTAGGCAACTGTATGATATGAACACGAGACTTGTTACTGGACAGTGTCAACGATGCTATCAAAGAAGCGGACGCTCCTCATGCCAGCCCTGTCGCAACGACATAGCGGACAACACCGCCGCCACCATCAGCATCATCACCATCCTCATCCTCATCCTCATCCTCATCCTCATCCTCATCCTCATCCTCATCCTCATCCTCATCCCATCCTCATCATCATCTCCTCCTCCTCCTCGTCATCATCATGCCGGAGGGATTTTCTTGCAGGTATCAACCAAAGGACCATGGTAGCTTCAGTAGCTGCATTCGGATTCGCAGTCGTATTACCGGGGCAATCATGTCCGGAATGTGACCCGGCCGTACTTATGAGTTCATCACAGATTCAGGGCTATGTGTCATCTCGGAACGGTTTATGGCTCAGGATGTCCATTGACAGAGTGTTCGGGGCAAAAACAGGATGTAGCTTAAAATCTGTTCGTCCGGATGTCAGAGCTTTGTCGCCGAAGCCAGCCCCAAGCGTCACCAAGCCGACAAAGATCCAAGCATCCGATGGCAATGCAGGAGTCAGGGCCATGTCGTCAAGTTCGTGACCGGACTTCAGAGGCGCACCAGAGAAAAAAGCAAAGGCATTAGTGGCTTGCGAATTTTGATGAAAGGAAGTGATAGGTCTGATAGGTAATACAGAGATTGAGCGCACAATAACGCCAAGCTTCGCTCGGCTGAGGTGCCTGCAGCAGTCGGACCAGCTGAGCCACGATCAGGTGAGCTGTGCGCAGGACATCGACAATCGGGCGAAGAGCTTGTTCGAGCCGAAGCCGCTTGTCTGCGAAGGCGAGGCTTAGGAAAGAGCACTGGAGCGATTTCCAGGGAGCCGTCTCTGGGAATGACGCAGGCTTGAAGGAGTTTCCGTGTCAAATTCCCGGCAGGGCCTTTCGGATTTCGCCTCGACTCGAGCTCCAAGTTGCCTTCTCGACCCTGCGGACACCACGTATAAGTCCACGGGACAGGAACCACCCGTCAATGTTACAAGCAGTCTTGGTGGCAGCATGAGAGAAGCATCGTTGAGGCTAACAACTAGCATGTACTCGGTTGCTCCTCTTAGTGCCAGTGCGAACTGCGTAGCAGAGTTCTCAGTCGAATCGTTACCATGCGTATTACGACTATGTTGCTCTTTAGATTTCCATGGTTGTCGCTGTTGACATGGCGGCCTGGTGATCACCAGCAGACCAGCAGCATTGATACCGCCAACTAAAATGATTGCCGTCATGGTTGTATCATAGTTGCCCACAGATCGCAAGCTTCCGAATCTGATCTTTGCTCGATTTATTGCTGCGTTGATCGTTCTTGGTTTTAGCCATGATTGTCACTGGTGCTGTGCCTATCACTGTTGCGCCACTGAAACCCCGGTTTGCGAACTTCCGAATGCTGAGGTTCGGTGGCCGATATGAGACCTTCCAAGAGCGGCCCTTGCGAGACGCTTGCTTTCTGTGGATGAGAAATCTTGTGGACTTCAGAGACCCGGGTTGTTCAGGCACTTGAAGACATGGTAGCTCACCCTCAATTGCGATCCGTTTTTTTGGTTGGCAAGTAAGGACGTTATCCTGATGTATGCGGCCCATGACTCCAGGAAACGTGTCTTAAAATGAGAAGGTTTTGGTTTCGAATTTGAACAGTTAGGCTGCGTACATCTTTCGGTCGGAGGTACAATGCGATAGAGGGCTTGGGACTTAAGTTGGCTTTTGCATTGCTTGAGCCCAGGTACATGCTCCTCTTGTACCAGTACTACATTCAAAAGCTTACAGAGGAGTGGTATGGACGAGTGCTGGCTGGAAGCAGTGAGCGGGCGAAGTGGTTTCAGCATACCGACTACAAGCGTCCTGGCACTGATGCGCCGGATTTCTGACTCCAAAAACGAGGGCGACTCTCAGCCGACTCTCCATCCTCTGTAGTGGGGGGTATGTACCTGAGGCGCATGAAGTTGTCGACCTGGTAGTATTATCCAGTGATGCTTCCGCAGTCTCCAAGCTTGTTTTAGTCATTCTTCAGCCTTCACCGAAGAGTCATCATCCCCTTGCCATCAAGTTAAATCGAGCGCGGAGGAAGAGCAACCCAAAGACCCAAAGTCAGCCATCCTCACTTCGCCAGACGCACCCCTGTCATAGTGGAGCACGAGACTGCATTCTTGGCCAGTGCGTGCCTCAGGTGCCCGTGACTTCCATAAGCCCAAACAGTGACGGAAGGGTGGTTTTCCAGTCTGGAAGGGTCTGCAAGGCGGATGATCGGAGTCTCCTGCTCATTTTCGACCCTGAACTCCATGAGCATGAGGGCTGAAGAAGTTAAGGTGGAATGCTTGGACGTCCTGTCAAGATGGTCCGATGAAGTTCCGCTACCGACGCATCACGCAACCGCCGGCCCTGGAACTCAGTTGAGGTTGTCCGTGGGACTTCCGCATACATCTTGAGGCATCGGGTATCGGGTTTTTGCTTGGGGTGGCAGGGCTCAGGATTTTCGGAACAGGAATTGAGGATCTAGGGTTTCGAGTTTAGGTCTAGGTCTTGCGTGCCACCCTGCGGATTAAAGAATTATGGTCCCAGTTCCTTACATCGAGCTTGAACGCCTAACTCAACTACGGAGATGAACGTTCTCTTCAAGCAGCCGAGACTCTGAAATCATCAGTGTTCAGACCTGAAGCCCCGGTATGCACCCGCCGGAAGACGCAATCGAGCTCGCAGCAGCCCGGCTGATGCCGAATCAGAGTGCCAATTTGGGCTGAATCTGGTCTAGAACCGTCGGCAAAACCACCTTATCAACCCTGAGCCATCGGTAGCGAGGCCAACACGGGTCTGCCTTGCGTGGGATCCCTGCGCGAGGCCACGCCCAGCTGTTGAAAGACTTGGGGATCGTTAGGGTTGTAAGTCTTTGTAAGTGGTTCAAGCTAGACAAGTACACCTCCTCGTGTCTACGTCTACACACACCACCCCACATATGCCGCTCTTGCCCAAGTTCTCTAGCAGCTCACCATTTTTGCTCGTTCATAGCTACTTCCTGGATCCCTTGCCTCCAAAGCGTTATTCATGGCAAACCCCCTACACGGTCCAACTCGTACTCTTCTTCAACACCTGCTGATCCAATCCAGTTTTTGCTCTCATTTAGCTGTTGTGCCAGTGCTGGATGAGAATCTTGGCAGTTCGGACTGCCGAGCTAACCAACAGGTAGTGTTTCACCCCGTTGGCTTCACAGATTCCCACAACAAGCAACTGCAACAATCTTGACACCTCTAGGGACACGCCGGTCTGAATCGTCTCGCAGAGGGTTGCATGCATTGTTCTGTGCGCCCTGGTCGCGGCAACATGATTCACTTGGCATCACTTGGCTACATCGGGGCTTGGTTTGGAAGGCAAGCTCAAACCCGATGGCGCTTCCTGTTTGGTTTTTCGGGTGGCTCTTCGCATTGTATCCGTTTTCCTTGCGTCATAATATCATCGTCAGCCAGTGCATATCGCACACAAGCTCTAGATGCAGCTCCATAGAAAAGCGAATCAAAGCTCTCAAGGTTGTCAGCTGCATGGCCCGGGTGGACTGCGAGGTCGCGTCTCTGAATCTCAGGGCTCTGCTTCAGGCAGAACTTCATGTAAACGGCTTACGTGGCACTTTCAATCCCAAAGCTCGGAACCCCCCAACAGTAGCCTATGGCGTAGGAGTCTTGCAGAAGCAGATAACTAGAAAAGCTGTCGAGATGAAATGCCAGGTCTCCTCGTGGACGGAGTGGGATCAGTGTGACAAAACTTGCGGCGGTGGTCAGCAGATACGCCACCGTCAGGCCAAGCTGAGAAGCTGCGAGAGGGCCACGAAAGCTCTGGGGGTTTGAAATTTGGTTTGAATTCCTGACTACAACTTCGACAATGTTACAGCTTCTTTCAGGTGCAAGCATTTCAGAGCATGAGTGCAAGTTGTCACAGACAGAGGGAGGCGACCCCGATGCTGGGAGTTCGGGGCTGAGGGCAGAGGCGGCAGAGGGGAGAGAAGCCGAAAGCAGCGAACGGTTCGGAGGTCACGAAGAATCCGACAAATGGCGGCAAGCCGTGCCCGATGACCCTCATCGAGACGCAAGGCGCACGATCCACCATCAAGTGGTCTACTCCAGATCGTTCAGTTGTTCGTAGTTCTTCCATGGGCAGATGATGTCCAGTCCAGGCTGTGCCTTAGCACCGTGCCGAAAGCGGGATTGCACGGCCCATTCCTGAGACGCTGGTGACAAAGTTTTCAGAGAAGGTGGTAGTGCGGCGGCGTACAACACCACTGACAGTTTCTACGGGAAAGTCCGAAGCTGTCACGTTGCCCCGGTGCCTCAGACCGTGCTGAGGTCTATGAATGGAGTGAATGGTCCGGCTGCAGTGCCTCAGCAGATTCAGAAGGTTGCGAGGAGCATTCAGCCTGCCGGATCGATGCAATCTTAGCCAATAAGCGCAGATCCTGTAGCTTTGACCGGAGTCGGTTTCAGCATCTCTAACTGTGGGAAGGTTCGGAAGTCTTGAAGCTCGGGAATCGGCCCATGGAGTGTTTGGCAGAGCATGTCCTGACAGTGACATCCGAACGCCTCTCAGTCCCGAAGTCTGCAGAGAGCCACCGCCGGGTCATTGCCAGGTTCCTCCTGCGGCGTTGGTTACCGGACTGGCGCTTGTTCTGTGGTTTTATGTGTCGCTCCAAGCCTCAAGGCTGGTTGGTCTTCTTAGAAAGGCATGAAATCGGGTCTTGGTTAGGTATAGGCACAGGAATGTGGCAGAGGTCGATCACGGCGAACATGTGCTCGTCCGGTGGGATAGCTACGACCACCGCCCGACAATCCCTAAACATAAGCCGTATCCTCAGCCTTATGCCTACATAACTAACTAGGTCACGCGCATGTGAGGACCCTGGCTACGTCGTGGCGCGTGAATGTGCTTATTTCCTAGGTAAAAACCTCATTTATAGCAAAATGTAGGGTTTGACGAAACCCGAAAAACCATTAACGAACGCAGCCAAAGTTGCAGCCAAGGCACAGACTTGTCAGTCTTAAGGTTTGGGGCATGGTTTTCATACAGGTTCAAATATGTATCCATATATGTATGTGTATATATATATATATGTATGTGTATGTATATGTAAATGTAAATGTAAATGTATATGTATATGTATATGTATATGTATATGTATATGTATATGTTTATGTTTCTGTATATGTATATGTATATGTATATGTATATGTATATGTATATGTATATGTATATGTATATGTATATATATGTATATACATATATATATATATGCATGTATGAAGATATATATATATATGTATGTATGCATGTATGTATGTATGTATGTATGTATGTAAGTATGCATGCATGTAAGTATGCAT